TCGAGATTTAACTAGTATTGATTAAAAAAACACTTTTATAGAATTGTGAGATATTTGAAAGATCTAAGATTCTGAATTGGGAGGAAAAGGAGTAAATGTATAAATTCGAATATCTAACTTAAAAAACACTACTTCAAGATCGAATGGAATTAATCCTACTTCTCGAAATTCTGATTTTATATTCTAATTTGTAATTGATTGTTGATATGCAGCTTTGAAAGTTATAAAAAATTCAATCTTTAAGATATAATTGATATATACCCTTATAAACCCTTCAATTTGTATATTATACTCTCGTTTTAAAGTATTAAAGTATTCAATATTAAGAGGCTAGATTAAATAACTTGAATGCAATAATTTATTTATTTATTTATTTATAGTGATTAATGTCTTGTAGAGGATCTCCCGAGGGGTATGAAAGATGTGGCTAGATTTAGAGTTATAAATACAGAAAGGCGCTGATGTGTATGCTAGTAAAACCTTACAGGGTAAATCCAATTCCTTTTATATATTCTAAATAAGTTAGTGTAATTATTGCAAATAGAACTGTTTTGATTGGCCCTATATTCCTAACGCTTTCTTTTGCTTATGGAGAGGAGCGTTCTGATTGTATAATTACTTCTGTCATAGAACTATGTTTTATGGATAGGAGCGGTGTGTACAGGTGTGTTGCTTCAAAGAAGCGGGTGTATGTATGATAGTATTCTAGAGGAGTGGAGGATTTGGCTATTGGGCTATTCGAGAGGAGCAATTGGAATGATGGTTCCGCTGAGTAGCGGAATGGCGTATAGGTGTAGTGGTGGCGGCTGGAGGGGGGATTAGTTCTCCCTTAGTATTCGATCGATCGCTTTTGCGGCCTATAATAGAAAAGCTCTATTAGGGTTAGCGGTAGATTGTTGGAGCTCAGTGGAGCTGTGTCAGGAGGTCTATATTAAGGTGGCCTATGAGGCGGTATATAGGGTGGATCTATGCGGATCAGATCGCTATAGTCATAAGTCGTAGAACAGTAGGAGAGTGACCCGATCACTCTACCACTGAATCAGCCAGGCTCCTTGCGGAGGACAATGGTCTTTTTGTCAAGGGTTGAATGCAATAATAAATATATACATTTAATATTATTCTCCTTATAATAATTCTGGAATGGTATTGATTCATAGCTTTCATACCCATCCAGCATTAGCATTCTGTATTTACCCTTAATTCGATTTCTTGTATATTTATTAAAGTGTTTTAATCATTCTAATCCTATCTCATTATTCGTTCACCTATTGCTTGTAGGTTTAATAGCCCAATCTGCAGGAAGATTGGTTTCTGTATACCAATTAAAAAAATGCACCTATTCTTAAACTATCAGAAATGGAGGTATAGTATCCCTCTCACTATTACTGTATATAATCGCTATAGCCCATTCTCGATTACCTGATTATATAGCTTTATTTCTGCTGTATCTCTTAGTATTAATAACAATTATATTAGTATTTATTATTTCTATTATAAAGTCTGTTTCATTAAAGTTCTATAAATCACAATCGAGAATATCATATTTCACTCGCATATTCGATATAAATCGGAATTAGTTTTCAATAAGTATAGGATCTTTACAAAAAGCTTTTTGAAAGTTATAAATATATTTAAAACATGTTTTTAGCTTTATATAATATTTAATAAATCGATAAGCCTAGAGCTTTCCAACTTTTTTTATACTTCGAGATTCAAGAATATAATTTGCTATATCTTCTATTCCCTTTTATTTAAATACAAAACCTTTTAAATCCATATCAATTATATACTGAATAATGATTTCCTCTTTTAGTTTCAAGAGATTTTGAGATTTAGATTGAATTTCTATATAAGGAGATATATTGTCAATTCTATGTTGTAGTGTTGATTGTGGGATATTATATAGTATTGCAGTCTTTCGAGTATTTAGCTTCTTATTTTTCTGAATAGTTGTGATAACGAGTAATATACAGGCTTCTTTATTATTCGAATTTATTATGAATTGTTGATAAAACGCGTGTTGAAATGAGGGAGTCGAATTGAGGTGAAAGTGGGCTATCTACTGATATGGGCCACGCACTGATAAACCATGTTATACAGTTGAATTTATTATTCTAATATCGATTTCTATTTTAAGAACTTTTTATAAGAAGGATATTATTACTCAAATTTTCTAAAGATCTAATGTATAAATTTTTGAAATATTTTTCTTATTATATATATACTACTAGAAAACAAGGCCTCTTTATTATATAAGAGATTAGATAATTAGAACTATAGTCTATAAATATTATATTACTAATTATCGACTCTATTAATGTCACGGCGCCAACTACATGATCTGTAGTTGCCTTCGTGCCTCAGGCACAGAATACTAGCGCGCCCTACTTCCTATAAGTAGGGCTTCACTCTTTCATAGCTCTTCTACCCTTATGGTACAATATAAGTCTTTACCCGTACCATGACAATTAATATTAAATATTCGAGAATATATAAAGTAGACGAATTGATATTTTTGATTAATAATAACTAAAGTAATTGAAATAGTAAGAATAATAAGAGTAGCAAGAGTAGCAAGAGTAGCAAGAGTAGTAAAACGACTCTAAGAATTTGCTTTTCACAAGTGGCTAGAGAGAGAAAATTTGAAACAAGATTAAGCGTAGAAAAGCTCTGTCATGTGATTATATTAGTTTAATTATTTAAATCATGTCAGAACTTACATCAACATAGGAGGGGATCTGGCCGAGTGGTTAAGGCGTTGTGTTTAGGTACTTCGAAAGAAGATCATAATCCGAATCCGCAATTCGAAAGAGCGTGGTAAGTTCACATTACCTTATCCTCTTCAGATCATTATACTAACAACTATTAAAAGGGTTCGAATCCCACGGTCCTCAAAATCTTTTTTGCATTTAATTGCATTGAGAAATGGTCGAACAACGGTCAGTCGAAAATTTTGATGATTCAATTTGGTGGACACGGTGGGGATGGGTTTAGCGTTCTACTCCGTAGAAACCAGAAGGAAACGAAACCCCCCCTTTAAAATGATGAAAGCCTAAGGGATTCTCCCCCTCGCTCTTTCGAAATGCGGGAATGAACCTTCGCCCTCGAGAAAAATTAACATCTCACTCAAGTGAAGCTTAATATGCGTCTAGTTCATCCCAGAGCTTAGAGATTCATTCAAGAATGTATAGTCATTTGATCGTTTCAGTCAATTCATATCTTGAACCTTTTTACTACTTTGTATTCAGAGTCCGGTGCGTTTATTATTTCTAATCTTATATTTATGACTTGAAGAAGAGGCATTGTTCATTCAGCGTTTAATATAGTACTCCGTAGATGAGTAATGTCTTAATAATCCAAGTATAGACTCATTATCATCTCGAAAGAATGAAATATCATTTACGGTGATATCAAGTACTGAGTCTCCGACTTACAGCTAGACTATATAAAGTTTATATGTATAATATAGCTTCCCTATAGCCTATATGTCATATAAGATTAGATTCTCTAATAGTTTATTTAGACTATAGTTTATTCAAAGATACTCTATCTACTCTTTAGATTTCAATAATAACTATCGATTTTAAAAGCTTATGATTTCAAATTTGTTAAATTACTAAAAACATTTTAATCTTCAAGACAATTTGATTATAAAAACAGAGTTGAATACTTTAAGAATCTTGATTGTTGATCTATAATTCGAACTATTAGATATACTGTCTAGGACTATTCGATTTCGAAGCGAGATGAAAATAACGAAAGAGAATTGTATTTCGACTGAATTCAGACTGGAGTAGTTAGAGCTAGATATCAGGGGATTAGATTTATAATCAATATTAGAATGAGTTTGAAATCGAGCATAGGACTATGACTTGAGAAGAATAGATTTCTATTTGAATGTAAATAAGTAGTATATCTAATAGAAATAGAAATCAAATATAACTCAAAAAGATATCAATAGTGATATATCATCGAAGATGTTTTCATTGACTATTCATTATCTTTTATCACTCTAACTATTATCCTCATCAAGATATATACTTTATCAGAACTTATATTCTCATTCCTCATCAAAACAATCTATACGTATCGCCTCTACCTCTCCCTTACTCTTACTCTTCAATCTCAATTCAACAAATACACTACTCTATCATCCCCTAATACATCCATCTTCCCGTTCAAGATTCATATAAACTCATCTCAACCCATCTAAACTATTCTCACTACTAATAATAATAATCAAGTATCGAGAAATCTATTCTATTCAAATTTCCAAACATTGATATACCTTCTAGATACTTCCCTATGAGATAACAATACTACTCTCTACTATACTAATAAAAGAAACCGCCTCCTAATACGAAAGCATAAATAAAACCGTTCGCTTACTCACTTACTTACTGGAAAACTACTCTTTATTTGTAAGTTCAAGTTAGTAGGTATTTATTAAAGACTACTTGCTATTATACTACTATAATATAAAATTGAACTAGCTGTTTAATCTAGTATATATATATATCTTACAAAAATGAATCTTTATCTCTTCAATTATTAACTATTCAAGAAACGATTTTTTACTTATTTTCAATAGTGTATTCTCCGTATACATATGAAAGAGAGTAATTAGAGGTTTATCGACTTCAAGATTTTTATAAACTTGAACAATTTACTAATTTTAGGTAGATTAAGCTTGATTAATATATGATTTAAATTGAGATCAGGATCTCATTTAAATATATCTATAGTATACTTAAAATATAGAGGAGGATACATCTTGTTAATATCGTTTGAGCTAATAATATTCTAGATTAAGAAAAAAAAAATTAGGGGATGGGTATTAGTGATGATTTGAAGCTTGTAATGAAATAAGAAGTTGAAAACCAGTAGGTGTTTAGAAATAATAACATAAAAAGCAGAGATTTCTCGTTTCCGCTATAATATAACATTTCCAAATGATCTCCGCAGATGTATACAACAAACATAAACAAACTAAACTATCTCTAAGAACTTTTATCTTCACCATCACTCCACTCATACTGAGTCAAACTTTCATCTCCATGTGGAAGGAAGCTCATCAACCACCCTGCCAACCCCCTCCAAGACATCAAACCCAGAACCCTATGCATAACCGCAATTCCCCACTCCGTTTGTGGATTTAATAACCCAGGAACCCCTGGCGGAAGCTGCTGTACACTTTCCACAATCGGTCTCATCTTCTCTTCATATTTCCGCAATCCTTCTTCCCAATTTCCCTTACAAGCTCCGAGTTCTCCTGCAAGATGATACGCACCTAGAATCGCCGAACTGGTGCCCATCCCCGACAGAGGTGAGGGACAATAACCTGCATCTCCCACGAGTGCAAATTTCCCTTTGTAAAATTGAGGAGGATTTATTTGGGCGATTTCTTGCATATAATAATCTGGTGCTTTATCCATTCCATCCAAAACTCTCTCAATCTCCCACCCCATATCAGACATTTCTTCTCTCCACGCGCGTTTTTGTTCTTCGGGGGTCATTTCGAGATGTTTTACTAACTTGCATGTTTTGTTGGGATCGGTAATACTGAGGAATACTCGTGTAGTAGTACTCTCATATATATTATCCGGACGCAGTAATATCGAACGTCCACGAGAAGCATTATACCACTTACCCCATTCATCATCCTGAGATTGTTTGGGGATGGCGAAATGATGCATATTGATACAACGATTTCAGACCATCGTTTGGAAGAGGAATAACAAGTCGTCTAGTTTTCGAACGCAATCCATCTGCTCCCACAACCAAATCGAAAATTCTCTGTTTGCCTTTTGCAAAAGTAACAAGGACTCCCTCATTCACCTCTTCAAGTTTCGTAATGTAATCATCCCAAATATAGTGACACGTCTCCTTTGTACTGTTATAAAAAATCTCGGACAAATCTCCCCGAATGATCTCAATATCACTCGTGAAGGAATTTCCATTCTCCTCCATTGGGAAAGTAGCTTTGGAGACACCATTCTTGTCAACAAATTGAAGACCAAATTCATGGGTTACTTTGGAGCGAATTGTGGATTCGAGACCCATACGTGATATGACTGTACGAGCGGGGCCTCGAATATCAACTCCTTGACCGGCGGAACGAAGAGAGGGAGATCGTTCGACAATCGTGGCGGTTATTGAGGCGCGGTTGAGCCAGTAGGCGAGGACTGGACCGGCGATGCTGGCGCCCGAAATAAGGATGTGGGGTTTTCGGATCGAGGTGGTGGGTTTGGTGGACATTTTCGGAGAAGGGGTTGTTTATAAGTAGGTAGTGCGGGACTGTGAGTGGGACTGGTCCAGAGGAATCTCAGAGTTGAGTATACTGACACGTGACTGACTGGACCGTAAGGCGATGTGCTGAGTGCGTACCCAGTAGTCCTTATGTGCTATTCGAAGTCTATAACAAGAATTGATATATAAACGTTCCTCTAAGCACTTGAATATATGCTCAATTGCAAAATCTCAACAACGTGGTATCAAAATATAAAATATAAGCCGTGTTACACCTATATAAATAGTGATATCATAGACCCATTCTAGGATCTGATAAATCAATTTGTAAGACGAGATTGAAGTATTTGTAAAGTTGATAATGATATGTGAAATGGAAGTAAGTGAAGAACTCTAATATCTAGTATCAATGATATGATATATACAACAATCCTACACCACAAGACAAGTCCGCGACGGGATTTACTAATCCCCATAATAGCAAAATCCGCGGCTAAATACCGATATCTCCATATGCACGATCGACCAACAGCAAATCGCTTCTCGATACTCGTACGGTCAGAAAGTACACAACTCCTCTCTTGACCCTTGATAGGATTAAGCTGTTGCGTATCTAGGTACGGTACATTACATTACATTACATTTCATTTCATTTCCGAAAAATATATAATCGGAAAACTTTCCTTATAATGAAATCTCTAGTACGTGCTTCTCGAATCTCGAGATGTATTTATTTGTAAACAAGCTATCAGAAGAGCCCACTAGTAGACTCCACCAGTACAGCGAATAATTAAACCAACAAAACAACACTACAAAACTAGATCTCGAAATATTTTTTGATACTACGATTTATACGTATCTGTCTGGATCTTGATCATATAATCAAAGAGGGCACTGTACTGCATTAGCTAGCTTGGCGCTAGCGCTTCCATATATTAAGTATAAGTAAGTACTAGCTTCCCATAGATAATAACGAATGCAATCATAATAGACTAAGGTACTTACTTATACTTATCAATCAAGTTGATATCAATAGTATTCATATCTCAGCAATTATCGCAACGATTCATTTATTCATTCTTTTATTAAATCGTAAATTGAACAACAAAAAGAGAAATTCTAATATCAAGCTATCGAAGAATAAATGTGATGTGTCAAGATCAAGAGAAATCAAGTTCCTTGGACTTGATACACGCGGATTCGGTACATAGGCGACTTTAATTTCTTTCATCCGCGGGGGGATAGGGGTAAGAATGAACATTAACGAGGAGGCGAGACACATTGCGAAATCAGAGGGGAGAGTATCAATGTCTATCAAGCTCAGAATACAATACAGAGCAGGAACATTATAATCTCACATCACACTGAGAGGCAACCCGACGCCCAATCTTGCAAATGTTGTATTATACTGCACGTGTCCCAAATACCCTATCTCAATGTTACAGCAAAGATTCCGATATATTACAATCCTTCCGCCCAAAATCCAATAATGAAAAAAACACCAGGCCGCTGCACTATCCGACAGAGGACGGTTGTCAATCTTTCAATAAATGAGCGTGCAGCCATACCAGTACCCCCTTACACCTGTTGACCTGAGCTAGATGCAAGTATGAAGGAAATGAACTCCACTCCAACGCCAACGCAATGAAAACAATACCCATAAGCTCTCCTACTCGTGATCGTACATCATTAATTTACTTCTCCACTTTCTGCCTTCAGCAAGATACCTCCTATGCCTGCGATCAAGTAGCACTAAACCTCTTGGTTTTGACGTCTCCACTGGGTCGCTTCTTCAATGCAATAAATGTCTTGACCCTTCTCAATCTCGTCATTAAATCCTTGTCCTTTGCATCCCTGATACTCTTTGCATCCTCTTCATCTGCGAAATCAGGTGCCAAATCATTACCATTCTCATCGATACTCTCGGTCGTTGCAGGTGCAATGTAACTCTTTCTTGAACCCTTTTCATTCTTTTCTCTACCAACTCTCAATCCATGCTCACTCTTCAATACCCGTAGCACAACTTCCCATCCCGCAAGCGCTCTTAGTTTTTGATTCTGCGTAGCGGCAAGTCCATTTTGTGATACCGGATTGCGCCAAGGACAATATTCGCGATGTTGGGCGATAGGATCGAGACCAGGAACGATAGCTGGCTCGGTTTCTACACCTGTAGCAGAAATCGATCTACTTTTGAACATCCAGAGACCAAGTATTCGGTAACATGTTTGACATGAGACGGATTCGAGTTGTTGGCCAAGACGATCATGCTTGTGACCTTGCCAACCACAAAGAGACATCATTAAAGCCACTTTATTGATATTGTCCGGAGAGTTTATTTGCCCTGATGCAGGAGATGATTGGAGAAATTCTTGGGGAAGATAGCTTGTAACGCGATCGATATCAAGGCCTTCAGGAGGTGACATATTAGAGAGGTATGGTAGGTGATCGATTCTTTGTTGGAGTTCATCGTAACGTTCGCGAAGGGTTTGGATGGTAACTGCAGGTTTGTTGAGGGGTAGCTTGAATATAACATCTAGGACAGAATTAGGACTGAGCGCGTGAAAGGGGAATTTTTAACGTACCATCGCATCCTCTCTGTCTCCATGGACAACTCTCATCATGGGACGCGACAATAAGTTCAACATATTTATCGACCAACGCATTTTCTACTGAGTTAGTTAGCGCTAAATCACCGAGAATCTGCGATGGAAAGAAATCCCCTACCAATGTTTTCCGCGATATAAACTTCCTTCTCTTTCCCGTCTTCTTCTTTCTTGTTTAGCTTAACCAGGATCTCTACATTGCAGAAACAGCATCGAACTCTCTCCTTCTTCTGACAAACCCATCCTCGCTTTGCCCATTCCACTTCATTAACCTTTGCTGGTTTTGGCGTCCAATCCGTTAGATTCGAGAAAGACTTTAATCTTTTGAGAAATTCCCCGCGATCATACGGGGTCCATTTGGGAGGCTCTGCAGGCGAGACGGGAGTGGCAGAGAGTTTGTGGACGGGTGCCAATCTCTGACGGGCGCTATCAAATTCGGATGGGGCCGCAGATGATGCGCGAGTTAAAGAAGATAATCGAGTCGCGTTGGAAGAGGAATATGAAATTCGTGGCTTCTTCATATTGGAATCGGTCTCAATTTGAGGTTTCTCGGGAGTTTTATTTACTTCGTGTGCTGATAAGGAGGAATCCGACTTTTTGCTTCCCAAGCCATTCAGGAGGGCGTTGAATTTTCTTTTGGTTGTATTCATTTTCGCGGCTGAGATAGTGACACTGAGTGACACTCTCGTGGTGCCGTAATATCAGAATGAAGTTGATGAGGAATGTGATGAATGATAATGTGAAGCTGGAGGGTTCCCTTTTATTTATTTACCGGCGGTTATTTGGTTGCTGTTTACGTGGTACTACTCGTAGTAAGTACTGGGAGGTAGGTACTTTGTACAAAAAGTAATAAATGACTAGATGAGCCGTGAAGCAAATCCCCTGCAATAATGAATCAAGTGTATGGGTTATGATAGGAAGAGCCAAGGCCCGTGCCGCCCGCAGTAGCTTCACACTTTCTGCTCGATTGCTTGCCTTGCCTTACCTCGACCTTGCTTGCGTAGTACGGTAGTACATACCTGGTACCCGTACGTACCCTCGTCCACCAGTCCAGTCCCTATCCCTAGTATTGGGAAAACCCCACCAAGAAAATTGGGACGACAACAAAGAGATTGAAATACCCCTCGATTCGATCCAGATTTCCTCTTACATATCTATACTCGTATCTACCTTCGTACCTGACATAAATTCATGTCAAAGCCGTCACTCAAAAATAATCCCTCTTCCAATTACTTTTCACCAAAAAGAATTCTCTTCACATCTTTCCTGATCGTCATACTGGCTTTCATCACAAATAGATTCTGGCCCCGGGTTACTCTCATATCTCATCACTTCTCTCCGACACATATCAATCCACTCTCTACAGCTTCGACTTCCAAAATGTCCAACTACAGCAAAGAATTAGAAGTGGCGCAATTGGCCGTTCAAAGAGCAGCTATCTTGACCAAGAAGGTCTTTCATGAAAAATCTAAAGGAACATTATCCAAGGACGACAAATCACCCGTGACAATTGGAGATTTTGGAGCGCAAGCTTTAATTATCCAAGCTATCAAGAAGAACTTCCCTAATGACGAGGTGGTCGGAGAAGAGGAAGCTAGTGATTTGAGAGAAAATTCTAAATTGAGAGATCAGATTTGGGAATTGGTCGAGGCTTCGAAACTTTCGGACCCTGAGGCTGAGAAGGTTTTAGGTGGCCCAGTGGAAAGTGTAGATGCTATGTTGGATGCGATCGATGCTGGAAACAGTGCTGGTGGAGCCAAAGGAAGAATTTGGGCTTTGGATCCTATTGATGGAACAAAGGGATTTTTGAGAGGGGGTCAATATGCCGTTTGCTTAGCATTGATGGTCGATGGAGATGTCAAGGTCGGTGTTCTTGGATGTCCTAACCTTCCAGTCGATGACTCCGCTCCATTATCAGCTGATGCTGGCAAGGATGCATCAGATGACGAAGGGAAGGGTGTTTTATTCTCAGCCGTATTGGGACAAGGTGCTACCAGTCGACCATTGGGTACTGGAGCATTAGCAAAAGGCCAATCTATTCAGATGAAGCCAGTGACCGACTTAACTCAAGCTACTTTCTGTGAGAGTGTTGAAGCCGGTCACTCTTCTCATGGCGATCAACATGCTATTGCTACCAAATTAGGTGTCACCAAAGCCAGTGTTCGTATGGATTCTCAAGCCAAATATGGTTCAATTGCTAGAGGCGCTGGAGATATCTACCTCAGACTTCCAGTTAGCGCAACCTACCAAGAAAAGATCTGGGATCATGCTGCTGGAGACTTAATCGTGAGAGAGGCAGGTGGACAAGTTACTGATTCCCTTGGACGTAGATTGGATTTCAGTAAAGGAAGAACTTTGGCTGAGAACAAGGGTGTTGTTGCAGCTCCAGCGGCCATTCACGGCCAT